TTTGTTTACTGTTTATAAATTACTACACACATCTGCTCCACTTCCCACACATACAAAAAAAAAAAAGGGGCCAATAATCATTTTAGTATGTTTGTTTGAATTTGTAATGATCCAACAGAAAAGCCTGTTGGATCAGGCCAATGGCTGATCTAGTCCCACATTTTATTCTCAGAGTGGCTAATCACAAGCCTATGGGAAGCACTCAAGCAGGACTGAGCACAGGATCACTCTCCCCTCCTGTGGTTTCCAGCAACTGCCATTCAGAAGGATGCTGCCTCTGAGTATGGAGACAGAGCGTAGCCATTGAGAACCTTATCCTCCATGAATTTGTCTTATAACCTTTTAAAACCGTCTTGAGTTGGTGACTATCACTTCCTCCTGTGGCAGGGAGTTCCATAGTTTAATTATGTCCTACAGGACCGCCTCTCCTAGTATGTCCCACGGAGGACCTTACGGTCTTCAAATAAAAACATCTTGGAGATCCCGGGCCACAGGGAGGTTAGGCTGGCCTCAACCAGAGCCAGGACTTTTTCAGCTGTGGCCCTGATCTGGTGGAATGCTCTGTCACAAGAGACTAGGGCCCTTTGGGACCTAACATCTTTCCACAGGGCCTGCAAAACAGAGCTGTTCCACCAGGCCTTTGGCCAAGGCACAGTCTGACCCCCTCCTTCGGTAATTCTCACAGAACTCTAGCCCAATGGTTGCCATTAATTTGATTTTGAATTGATTTTAGAATGAATTGGTTTTAGAAATTGATTGTGATTTTAGGTAAAATGTGTTACTTTTATTATTGTTAGCTGCTCTGAGCCCTGCTTTGGCTGGGGAGGGTGGGATATAAATAAATTATTATTATTATTATTATTATTATTATTATTATTATTATTATTGAAGTGCTTTCTTTTATTTGTGTAGAATCATTCAACATTTAGCTTCCCTGTATGTCAATGAGTTACAGCATTACGAGAGAGAAATGGTTAGAAGAAACTAGTACCAAAAAAAAATGAAGGAAAACACAATTGCCAGTCATTTAGACCAAGAGCAATCTTCCTCGGAAGGAGGGAATGTGACTATTCCGTGGAAAATTCAACTTCCTTGAAAAAGAGGTTTTCATACTGAAAAGTGAAAACCCGAAAAGTGAAAAATGATTCTGTTTAATTCCTGAAAATACTGTAAAAATAATACAGGAATACAGGAAAATGTAATTGTACACATAATAACCTATACTGCAGTTAGATTCTGCTGTCAGAGTTCCTAGGGAAACCCAGCCAGATGGGTGTGGTATAAACAATAAATTATTGTTGTTGTTGTTCTCTTGGCATACTTATTTCATGATATCTGAAGTTCCTAATGTTAATTGTTTTATACTTAAGGATTCAAAGCGTTTAAGCCTTCTCTTGCCTTATACAACTTCCTGAGTTGTTAAGATTAAAATGCTTGATTCCCATCTGTTCCCCAGCCGTCCTCCATTTAATCACACCAACATGTACCTGCAGGAAAAGCATGCAAAATATTTCATTTCTCTTTAACAAGTTTATCAATGAGCCCCTGGGAGGCGGGGAGTGGAAAGAGGCAGACAATTGTTTCTTGTAGTTGTCTGTGATCTATTGACAAATGCCTGTATTAATATATAGTCAGCTTGCATCTTTATACCACAGGCCTTAGAATTTTGACTAGGAATTGGGAATCAACATAAACATGTACAACTGCTGCTCTTGCGTCATCTAAGTCCCAGCTTTGCTTACCCCATAAGCTCTCCAGGTGTCTTAGTAGGCCTCCATAGAAGATGGAGCATAATCCCTGAGGGAGGGATCAGACTGAATGTCCATCTAATCTAGCATCCTCTCACAGTGGTAAGCCCAATGTCTTTGGGAAGCCCACTAGAAGGACCTGGGCAAGCAGGAAGGACTCCTGAGGCTCAAGAACAGGAATGGGGAAACTCTGGCCTATGGATCTAATTGGGTTCACTAGGCTTCCCCATTTCACCAAGCAGGTACTGCTGTACATGTGACATCATCAGGCGTGGGACAGGTAGTTCCAACAATATTATTACTTCCTCTAGGATTTTGAATACAAACTGCTTCCTCTGGAAAGGGGAAAGTGCTCTGTTTTGGGGAGCATTTTCCCCTTTGCAAAGACTTTAAAGGCAGTTCCAGGGAGTTTCTTTGAAGTGTGTTCCTAGTGTCAACCAGCTGACTGAAGATACTCTTTCATTGCCAAAGGAGCTTGTTGTAACCACCAATCAGTTGTTCCGTGCTTACAGCAGCCTCCTTTGGACTTTGGCAGGTGTCAATCACCTGGTGTCATTATGATGACAGGTGATTGGCAGGTAGTCATTTCGACTCACTTGTCAAAGTTAGCCTGTGTGAGATGAGGGAGATACCAACCAGATTCCTTACCCTTGTGCAAGATATATGTTACTCTGCAGTTGCTGTTTTTTATTTCTTCTTCTTCTCCTCCTCCTCCTCCTCCTCCTCCTGTTGTTGTTTAAACAAAAAACAAAGCTATTGAAGCAGTTGTGAATGAGCAAAAGACGTATGGAAAGCGTCTGCTTAATAATCCTTTCTCTTTTGATCTTTTTCCTGTTAAAATCACTCTTGTATTAGCTAATTCCATTGGGGAGAGAACATAAGGCTTATCCATATCTTCCCTGGATCTTTCTTGCTATAGGTGAAAAAGCAGCTAGAGAGAAAGGTAATTCTGAGATGGAAACAACTGTCGGAAGGAACAGAGCACAGTCTTTTCCTGTTTAGATAAAGCCTGCTCCAGGCTGCTATGGGTTTAAATGAAACTTCTATGGAGGAAACAGACAGAAATCTAGTATGTGGTTGAAGCGTCAGAGGAGAAGATGGATGGGACAAAATACTGACCATGGTTTCCCAAACACTGACCATGGTTTCCCAAGCTTCAGAGTTCTTTATGAGCTTACAAAGTTGTCATCAACTCCAGCCCAAATTCCTAGGAATATAAATGAAACAAAGTCAAGAAATATTACCAATGTTTATTAATCATCAATCACTGTCACTAGGAATTGAAAAAAAAAATCATTTTAAATTCCCAAGGAAGGTACACTCTGTACATGCCCATGCCTTTTATTTCTGAGGCCCATAGTTCCTAATGAAAATTTTCACACTATACCTCATAATGTTCTTTTCCACCCCTTTTAACCCTGTTTCAACCTCTAGGTCCTTAGCCAGTCGCTGCAGAGTCCTCGAATATCAGGTTAAGCTAAATGGGTTACTGGGGTCCTTGCCAATCCTGTACACTGGGATTTTGCCAGAAAAGGGTACTACTAAAGTGGTCAAAATAGTGTCTTTGTTAAATAAATAGCCCTAACTATGTTAAAAATCAAATTTGTTGTGGCTTTGTTGTGGCAGAGTGACCTGGAATTAAATCTACTTTAATTGTACAAACCTAAAGTTTTGGTAGGATCTTGAAACCCTCCTGAAAAATACCAGTAGTCTGGAGATGCCGTTACTTCAGATCAAATTGTTGCCCAGCTGTTCATCTGGTCACACTGCAAAGCAGGGCCTAACTGGTAGTAGCACCTATCCTGTGGAACAACTTTCCAGCAGAGAATATGCAAGCACTGATGCTGGATGGCTTCCCCTGAAGTGAAAAATGCCCTACTTTAACAGGCTTCCCTCCTCCCCCTGTTCTGCTATTGACTCCCACCTACTGTTTTGATTTGGGTTTTGGGATTTTATAGGATTATATTGTGTTGCATTGGGTTTTAGAGGTAAACCGCTTTGGTAACGCATAATGGAAGTGGGGGGGGGGAACAGTACAGAAATCTTTAAAAATACAAAAGAAAAATACAAACCAAGTGTATTCCCTGACTCATCAAGTCCCCAGGTATTGATGGGTTGCACATGCTCAATTGTCTCCACTTCCAGAGTTTGACACACTGACATTATTTGTGACTTGTGGGAGTGAGACACTTAGAGATGTGGTAAGGTAAAGGGTAAAGGGACCCCTGACCATTAGGTCCAGTCGTGACCGACTCTGGGGTTGCAGCGCACGGAAACGCCGTTTACCTTCCCGCTGGGAATCTACTTGCACTTTGATGTGTTTTCGAACTGCTAGGTTGGCAGGAAGAGATGTGGTACTAAGGGATAATAAGCAGTGTGAGTGTGTTAATATTAAGTAAGAGATCAGCAAGGGTGGGATGTGGTCAGTTTTAGAAGCTGACAGCAACAGTTTCTGCACATCTTGATTCTGCAGGAAGATCTCCCCACAATCTCTCCCTGACTTTTCAGGGGCCTTCAGCTCCACTGGGGTGAAGCATCCCCTGTTGAATTGAGCAACATCAAAGGGCCCTGTGGTTCAAAACAGCATCTTTAAGGGTTTCCCTTCTGCCTTCTGAACTTGCCTCTGCAGCTAGAGAGTCCTTCGCTTTCGTGGTGTGTGCATGAGGGAATTGGGGGTGGGGGTCTGCCAAAGGAGAAGGGCGACCCCACATTCAAGCAACCTCCCCCGCCTTCTTTTTTTAAAAAGAGATGTCACTTGTGTGAAGGCGATCTGGTGAAACCAGAGCAAGGCAAGAGTGGTCACACTCACCCTGTCCCCCAAATTCAGAGCGGACTAAGTTTTAAAGGGAGGGGATGTTCAGAGAAGGAAGCTTTGAGCTTGAATGAATGGAAAGGAGGAGATGGAAGGGGGGGAGATACAAGCAACTGGAGCTCTTGAAAAGAAAATCTGTGTGTGTGTGTGTGTGTATCTCTTCCACATACGCGAGCTCGCTATCTGGCTGCAATCAATGCCTCTAATTGATGCTTTCTTGCCATCGCGGTGCCCCTTCACTCTCTTCTGTTGCTTGCGTGTGCGTGTGTGCTTTCTTTCCCCCTCTGCCATATATATATTGTGTGGTGTGTGTGTGTGTGATTTTCCCACCAACGCCACCATCCCCTCCCCTCTTTCCCTCTCTGCTCCAGCAGCACCAGCACCAGCCACCAGGACAAGTTGCTACGGAAACGGCTGCATGGCAACCGGCTCAGAGCCTGGGGTCCGTCTGCTGCTGCTGCTGCTGCCGCTGCTGCCGCCGCCGCCGCCGCCGCTTGTGTGGCTGCCTCATTCTCCCGCGCGCTTCCCTCCTCGCTAGATGGTGTGCGAGACACCCGAGACTAGACACGCTCCGGACGCGGGCAGCGAGAAGCGGCGAGGAGCGGAGGGAGGCGGCAGAAGGCGAAGGCGAAGCCGGCACAGGCAGCAGCGGCGGCCGGACCAGAAGAGGCGAGAGGCGACGAGCGAGTCCGGGACGCTCTGCCGCTCGCCCGGGACCTGAGGAGAAGAAGAAGAAGAAGGAGAGGAGGCGGAGGAGGCGGCGACGATTTCCCGCCCGCCCGCGCGCGCGCGCCTTTTTTTCCTTCTGAGGGGAGACGAGCCCAGAGCCCGACGCCGAGCCGGAGCGCAGCGCAGCTTCTCCCTCCGAAGCAGGCATGGACATGATGCCTCTGGTCCAGGGCGCTTGTTGCTCCAACCAGTGGCTGGCCGCGCTGCTGCTGAGCCTCTGCTGCCTGCTGCCCTCCTGCCTGCCCGCCGGGCAAAGTGTGGACTTCCCCGGGACGGCCGTGGACAACCTGGTGGTCAGGAAAGGCGAGACGGCGGTGCTGAGGTAGGGCTCGCCTCAGCTGCTGCTGCTGCTGCTGCTGCTCTCCTGCTCAGGGCGGCGCGCGGCGGGGGGGGGGGCGGCAGAGGGCGGGAAAATAACATGTGAGGGGCTGTGTGTCGTGTGTGTGTGTGTGTTGTTGTGTTTCTCAACCCCCTCTCAGCTGGAGAAGAGAGTTCTGGCTCCGCGGGGGCTGCACCAAAAAAGGGGTCCGAGCCGTGGAGTTGTTGGGCAGAGAGAGAGAGAGAGAGAGAGAGAGGAGGCTCCATCCCACTTGGAAACTAATGGAGCCCCTCTGAGTTTTGTCCCCTCCTGCCTCTCTCTCCCCCCCCCCTCAGCCATGTCCCCCCCCCTCGCACTTGTGGCGTTGAAAGGTGTCCTCCCTCCTCTCCCCACCGAAATGCCCCTCTTGGTGGGACTTTCAGCGGAACTTTAGCATCGCCTTTTCGTTACTCGCTGGGCTCTTTGGAGTGAGTCTTCCTCCCTCGCTCCCTCTGTGGTGTTTTTTATTATTATTATTATTATTATTACTATTCCCTTTCTCGTGGATTTGCAATTAGCTCTCTCCCCGGAATTACTTCGCAGCTTCTTCCTCAGGCGTGCTTCTTCTCTCAGCTCCTTGTTAAGCCTCTGAAAGCTGTAATGGCTCATCAGAGAACAGCGAACCCCCCCCACCACCACCACCACCTCGCACGCTCTCTCTCGCTCTCCCCCCCCCCTCGCCGCGTCCCCCGCTTCGCAGGCGAAGTGGCTGCAGTGCAGACTGAGCCTTGTGTGTGCGAAATATCTCCTTTGAGCAGAAATGTTGGAAGTTGGTGCCCAGCAGAGCGATCCGAGTGATGCTTAAAACGCCACCTCTCCCCCCCCCCCGCCCCGTTCTTCAGAGCCTCCCTCCCTCTGGCGCTTGAAACTCCCGTCCAGATGCTTGCTGCATTATCACTGACAGTGCAGTTCCACGCATCGGACTGCTACGGTATGGGATATGTAGATTTCTCGAGAGATCTGATCCAGGGATCCATCTGTACCAAGTACCAAGCAATGCATACCGCAGTGTATTAACTAACACACACACTTCTTCTTTTTTGCCTGGGAGAGGTGCCTGTATACTGATGTTTAATTGGACCATTTCCCCCAAGCCCTGATCTATGCTGCAAAATAAAGGAGCTCCTGTTCTTCCTTAAAAAAAAAAAAAGCAGAGAGAGAGAGCTTTGCGTGTGGAGATGATTTAAGAGCACACATTTGCCACTTGTCTTGTAAATGCAGAGCCCCGTGCCCAATTAGTTGACGTTGTGAAACTGTAGAGAATAAGCAGACAGTTTGGTAACGGAAAGATCTAAAGGGATGCGGGGGGGGGGGTGGACTCTGTACCTCAGCAGCAGATGAATGCAAAAGGTCCTTACTTGCCTTTGGAATGCTAAGTTTGTTCGAAGAAGTTGGAATGGGAATCACTGATGCTCGACTTAATTTCTTTGGGATAGTGCTTGATGTTTGTAACAGGATCTGCAGTGCAACCTTCCTGTGCCTGCTGTATAGCACTGCTCAGCAGTAACAGTTCACTGAGGATACAGATACACTCCACGTCGGGTTCTTGGCATTTTCATGGCGATTTTCATAGGAGGATGTTAACGATGTGTATTAATTACTTTTTCAAATATACATATTTCTGCCACCAGAAGATTGCACGGTCTACAGCAGTTTTGCAATTCCTTCCTTTTTAACAACGTTTCCATTTCATAACAACCCACTTGGCTAGTGGAGAATTTGTTTACCAGTGCATCCCTCCCAGCGGCCCCCCCCAAACTGGCTTAATTAGTCACCTGTTTTAATTTGTGCCTCCCCAGCCCCCAGCTTAATTTTTAGTGGTCGCATTTTGCACATTGCCAGGACAATTCTCTAGGGTGTGTGTGAAGGGAGGGGAGCGATTGTATGGTTTTTCTTACTACTTAGAATAAGTACGAAGATTCCTACTTCTTGATTCTTACATGTTCATAGGTTAGTCTCTGCAGCAGTTTCAACCATGAACGACGTGGTTATAAATTGTGTTGCTTGCTGATAGTGAATTAGATTCCTAAACTAACTTCATCAGAATCCTTGCTTTTCACTTATACTGCAAAGCACTTGCCATATATTTATTGCAGGAGATACTCTTTCATTGTTTCAAACTGTGGCAGGGGCAGCCCAGCCCTATTTATTTCCCTGACTGTTCTCATGTGGTGGATGCTGAGAACACATTCAGTGTTTATGCACCACTGGTTGACATATTTTTCATCTATAGTAATATGCTGTAGTTACAGTCCATGGTTTTAGAATACATTGGAATTTACTCTTGTTGGTTTCCCATGCTGCAGACAGAAAGTAAATGCAACCCTAGTCTCTTTCTTTATTTGCATTGCCTCCAATGTAAAGACAGCCAAGGATCAGAGTTGATGAGCTGAGTTTTCCCATTCATGCTAGGATGCAAACCAGTGCTAGTGGGCAGTGTGAATCCTTCATACATATTTTTAAAGAAACCCAATGAATTCAGAACTAAGCAACCGATGGTGCCTTTTCGCACCTAGAATTAAATGTGTATGTTATCATGTATGTATTTCTCCAAGGCCTGGCTATGACGCGGAATACATTACATAAATGCAATAGGACTTTTATGGCAAAGCAATTCTTCCCATCTTGTAAGTGGGGGAGCATGAATAGCAGCTTTTAAAATAAAATTCCACCGAGAATAGAATGCACTATACATTATTTTACCAGAGAAAGCAAAATGCATTACTGATCTACTGGGCACAGAAGAGCAAAGGCAATATTAATGTTGTTAAAATTCCTTGAACGTTTCTTAAAGAATGGCACATTTTGTGGAATGAAATACATTCCCCTTGGTATCTGTCGTGCAAGCAAAGTTTGCTTCACTGGAGCCCAATTTTCAAGGAAAGTTGATAGGAAACAGAGGAGCAACTTAGCCATTTGATGCAGACTTCCTAGTCATTCTCTGGAATCTTGTCCCTACGGGTTATGCACAGCTTTTATTTAATGCATAAAACCCAGAACACTTAAATTAATGAAAATCTACAAGAAAATGCTTTTTAGGTGTCGTATTCGGGAAGCAGCCTTCTGCAAACACAGACAAGGAATGCAGAGTACATATTGCAGCTGTTTCAATGGCTCTGTTGATTTGTTCACAGGTAGTAGCTAGTGTATTTTCTTCCACTTACCCAAGACTAGAGTGTGATGGTTGGGATTAATGCATATTGCTCTGCATAAAGAAATGTATATAAATATAAGGTGATATTGTATCACATATTTTTAACACTGTGATTCTGTATACAAACAACTGTTTTATAAGGTTCATGCAAATATTTTGATTCTCTGAGTCAAACTGTATTTTCATGTTTAAAAAGAAATATTTTGTATGGCCCGGGGTCCCCAAAGGAACGGCACGCTTAAAATATTGCAATCAAGAAACTTCTAATTTGAAGACTTAAATCATCCAGTATAACTGCTAGTGGCTAATATTAAAGGTCAAGTGTTGGGATCTCTGAGTCATCCTTTCAGTGTTTGAGTCAGCAGTTTTGTTGTTTAATGAAAGGACGATTATGTTAATAAGGATGATATACAGGTGTTTTAATTATCTGACTGCTGAACTGTTGAAAAACATTACCAGTTAGGCATTTTAGCTGAGATGCTATAGGGATGTAACTGTGGAATGGTGGTGGAGTCTTTCTCTGATAAATCCACAAGCCAAGTGAAGCCAGTAATGTCTGCGGTTGTGTCAGTGGTAGCAAGACTCTTTCTAGGAAGCAATTCTTGTAATCACCATTAGTGGAGTCCAGTGCCAGACTTCCATGTGACTTTGCAGTGTCCCATGTGGGGCAAAATGTGATGGAATAAGGATAGCTTTCTTCCAGAAGCTTGGGCTGCAATCCTATACACAGTTACTAGGGTGTAATCACCACTGAACAAAAGTGGGGTATATTTCTGAGTACACATCTGTCTAGAAATTCACTGACAAAAGGTTTAAAGGAGGGATGTGCTATATATTGTAAGTATTATCTGAGAAATTTGAAGTATTATACTTTGTACGTGCAAGCTTCAAACATCTTATGTCTGCCAGCAATCTATATTTTAAACAACTTGCCTTGTTTTATAGGGTTGGGCAGCAAGCTGAAACATAATAGCTACACAGATTGAAATAAAATCCCAGGTCTACCAAATAAAACCACAGCTTTACAGCACCTTTTATCATTTTGTATATTTGGGTATCACAGTTCCAGTGTTGGAATACTAATATTATTGGTGATGTACACAAGGGATGGAGAACTTGCAGCCCTCCAGATGTTGTTGGACACTAGCTCCCATCACCTATCACTAGTGTGGACAATGGTTGGGGGCTACTGAAACTGTAGGCCAACAGTATCTGCGAGCCACAAATCTCCACCTCTGATATATCCTTGCTGGATGAAGATTATCACTGGGAGTTATGATATGTTCCAGCCAGCCATTTTTCTATAGCAGCCTTTTCCAACCAAACAAGTGCCATTCAGAGGCTTGGGCCTGAGGCCCCACTATACCTGAGAGCTAGCAATGTGCAGAATCTTGCTCCCCTACCCTACTCCACAAGGCACATATGACTGGACTCACATGAGAGTGCCCAACTAGAACTATGGTACAGAACAGGGTATTCTGACTACAGGCTTGCATGATCAACTTTTGATTTTTATTACAACCCTGAGATCTACCGACTGGTGCAAAACGAGAACAAAATTTGGGAAAGGCTGGTGAAGATTGCTGCCTCCAAGAAAACTCGATCACAGAAAAGGATTTAGCTCCCACACCAGCAATGTTCCTGAATATTTTTAACTTTCTCCTATTTAAATGAATGGCTATGACCCACCCCATGGAGAAAAGAAAAAAGAAACTTGTAATCCCACCCAGGCATATGTCCCATTGAACTTATTATGGTTTATTTCTGAATAGACATATATAATATTGTACTACCGTACTCTGTCATTCTG